ATGGTTTGGTCCGAAAGTCGTGGTAAAACGTCGTGACAACGTTTTATTGGTACGTTGCAGCAACCGCGCACTTGCAGCATTATAGTTTTGATAATGCATGGTGACATATATGGCCATATAATGCATTTCCTTTGACTTTCAATGCGCATATTCAGTTTTCATCGTTAAATTTGACATATTTTAACACTTGGACTGTTCACGTTGTCAGCTGGTGGTCGCCAACACGTTGTTAAAACGGTTTTTCACAACGTTGACATTATAGGTACTGAATAATTAGCGGTGTTTTTACAAGTAAATTCTGATACCTTTCTCTCTCTCTCTCTCTCTCTCTCTCTCTCTCTCTCTCTCTCTCTCTCTCTCTCTCCTCTCTCTCTCTCTCTCTCTCTCTCTCTCTCTCTCTCTCTCTCCTCTCTCTCTCTCTCTCTCTCTCTCTCTCTCTCTCTCTCTCTCTCTCTCTCTCTCTCTCTCTCTCTCTCTCTCTCTCTCTCTCTCTCTCTCTCTCTCTCTCTCTCTCTCTCTCTCCCTCTCTCTCTCTCTCTCTCTCTCTCTTCTCTCTCTCTCTCTCTCTCTCTCTCTCTCTCTCTCTCTCTCTCTCTCTCTCTCTCTCTCTCTCTCTCTCTCTCTCTCTAATCTCTCTCTCTCGTCCTGCAACTCGTCAGCGCGCCTTGTGGCAGGCCTACTGTCGGCAATACGGTAGCGAATTGTGTGGCTGTCCGGAAGCTGCGACCGGAACGGAGGGTGCGCAGACCGTCTAGTCAGGTACTGCCAGCTGCCTAGGGACATCGAGGCCGCAAATGAGCCGGTGCCTAACGGTCCGCCGAGTGATCCTCCCAGCGAGGGTTAGTGAAGAAGTGAACTTCCACCAGTTCTGGCGTGCTATATATATATATATATATATATATATATATATATATATATATATATATATATATATATATATATATATATATATATATATATATATATATATATATATATATATATATATATATATGCGTCCGGTGCACGGTGCGTCCGCCTGCACTGGCTGCGGTCGGCGGACGCACCGACCCGGCCAGCAGTGCCCCGCCCGCGGGCTGCGGTGTCGGGCCTGCCGGGGACCGGACCACTTCGCAGCTGTGTGCCGGTCGAGGACCGACGGCCGACGGAGCCGTGAGGGGTCGTACGGACGGTACCGATCCCCGCCGCCCCGGGACCGGTATCGGTCCCCACCGCTCCGTGATCGGTACCTGTCATCTCCGCCGCGAGACCGGCCTCAGTCTCCGAGAGGTCGGCACATGTCGTCGCCGCCCCGAGAGGTGTACCGGTCACCATCTCCCCGCGATCGGCACCGTGCAACGACAGGGGATCGTCGCGCCTCTCGTAGTCGCCAACGGCAGTCTCCAGACGGGTACGGCCGAGTCCGTTTCCGGCGGGATGGTGAAACGGCGAATCACGTGGACCGCCGAAGCCCCAGCACATCGGCTATCATCGCGTCTGCATCGGTACAGGGTGCCCCGAGGGTGCGGGTACGCGTAGAGGCGTACTACTCTGCTGATGTGGACGCGCTGCCCGACACTGGAGCGGACATCAGTGTTGGAGGTATCCAGTTCCTGGACGACATGAATGAGTTCCCTGAGAACCTTCTACCGCCCAACGAACACCCGAAAGCAGCTGACGGAGCCACCGTCAAGTCTATCGGCGTTCTTCCCGTTCGTATCACCCTGGGTGACGTCACGGTTGATGACGACATACACATTCTTCCGCGCGTCACGGGTCTGCTGATGTCATGGAGGACTACCCGCCGGTTAAACATTATTCCAAAGGACTACCCGCGTCAAATGAACAGCGCGACCTCGACGCCCTACGTCAACAGCGCTGGTTCGAGACACCCGGCAGCTCCAGACGACAGCAGTACGACTGCTACCCCGGTCTTTGAAGATCAAACAAGCTCGACCGGAGGGCCGCGCGGCACGGCCACGCCAGCGCCATCTACAACGCAACCCGACCGCTTTGTGGCGACATCTGTGCGGACGGAATCCGCACCGCGCTGTCGCCAAGCTGCACTGCCATCTACATCCCAGGTCAGGAAAGAGACACTAACTCCGAGCACTCACTGTACGACCAACGGTCAGATAGCCACTCCCGAGCACCGAGAGGAGCAATGTGCCACGAAGATCCCAGACCTCGTGCAGGAATTCCCCACTGTGTTTGATGGCAACATTCGGTGCATGCCAGGAGAGGAGTACAAGATCCATCTCCGTGAAGATGCGGTGCCATTCTGCGTCACCGCGCCACGACGGGTACCACTGTCGTATCGTGACCCACTGAAAGAGGAGCTGAAACGGCTTGAGGACCAAGACATCATCTTCCCGGTGACGACTCCGACTGACTGGTGCGCACCGATCGTTGTCAGCGCTAAAAAGGGAGGCGGCATCCGGCTTTGCGTGGATCTTTCGATGCTGAACAAACACATCCGTCGAGAACGCTATCAATCACCGACTCCAGCAGAAGAAGTAGCATCCATTGTCGGAAAGAGAGCCAAATGGTTCACAGTGGTTGATGCTGCCAAGGGATACCACCAGTGTCCGCTTGCGGAAGAAAGCAGGTTACTGACAACTTTCATCACACCGTTCGGGAGATTTGCCTTCAAACGCGCCCCGTATGGTGTCTCGTCGATCTCCGAGCATTACAACCGGAGGATGGACCAGGCACTGCAGGGAATGCCCGATAACTACCGGAAAGTGGTAGATGACGTCATCATCTTCAGCAGCACACTGGAAGAGCACATCCAGCACGTTCGGGAGTTTCTGTCTCGATGCGAGGAACGAGGCATTTCCCTCAACCTGGGAAAGCTCCAACTGGCTCAACGCTCCGCAAAGTTCGCCGCCTCCATTGTGCGTGGTGTGCCGGTGTGTGCCCGAGTTGAGTCCCTGGAGACGCCACTGCCGTGCCCTGCCCTCCGGCAGTCGGCCGGCCGGCTGGGTTCCTGGTCCGTTGGTGGTCAGTTGGAGCGGAGCACCAATACACGCCGGAACGTTACTACCGCGTCTCACATGGTGCAGCCGGCAGGGTATATATATATATATATATATATATATATATATATATATATATATATATATATATATATATATATATATATATATATATATATATATATATATATATATATATATATATATATATCATGTGTAAATTGCAAAGCGTCATTGGCATGTTTTGCAACATCACAGGCGGAGCTAGAGGCTTGCAACTATCCCTATGTAAACGCGGCTGTTATCCGCGGCTGCCAGCAAGCCACGCGGGCCGCCACTCAGGCGAACGGTGGCTCGCGTCCTGACCTCGCCTGAGGGGCCGTGACGTCAGTGTCACCGGCCGGCGTTCAGAGCCAGCCGGCCAAGCCGCAGTCTACGCGGCGCGAGCGAGCAGTGAGGGCCGGCGGCGGGCGCGGCTGAGATAGCTGGAAGATGAAAGATAGCGCCAGTTGTCTGCGTTTGATGCGATTGTTGTTTTGACTGGTAAGTCAAAGTACCATTTACGAGTAGCATTTGCAAGATTGTGCCTTGTAATAGCGTGCGGTCTAGGCTATAGTTCATTGTAGCTCTAGCCTCTAAGGTGTTGACATGTTTGATCTAGCCTGTCGCACTGTTACGGAAAGTGGTGCAGGTATTTTTGTGATTTTTTCATGAATTGAATGTCTGATTTTCCCTCATGTCTTCCCACAGACGTCCTGCAACTCGTCAGCGCGTCTTTTGGCAGGCCTACTGTCGGCAATACGGTAGCGAAGTGGCTGTCCGGAAGCTGCGACCGGAACAGGGGTGCGCAGACCGTCTAGTCAGGCACTGCCAGCTGCCTAGGGACATCGAGGCCGCAAATGAGCCGGTGCCTAACGGTCCGCCGAGTGATCCTCCCAGCGAGGGTTAGTGAAGAAGTGAACTTCCACCAGTTCTGGCGTGCTAGCGGCTAGCGCCAGAGCCGGTAGAACCCAATTCCGTCCCACGCCCCCATGGGGGCGCCGCTGGGCCCCATGCCCCATCACCGATGCCGCCGCCGTTTTTTTTTTGTTGTTGTTGTAAATTGTCCAGTATGATGTATTGAAATATACACTTCTTACATGCCTTTTTTACAAGTCTAGAGAACGGGAAGAGAGCGTCTGAAACACATTCTGAGTATGTTGCGAACACGTTGAGAGGGCGTTGCAAAAATGTTTAGGACGTTTACTCAGGGTCGCAGGGACGGCAATACGAAGTAGCGACAACGTGGTGCGCACGTGATAAAAACGTCGCAGAGACGTTGCCAAAGCGTTCTATACTCCTTGTAGTGACGTTGCGGAAACGTGGTGACAACGTTCCAGAAACACTGTTGGTACGTTACAGAAAACATTTCATAATGTTGGCGGGACGTTGTAAGAACAGTTTTGGGACGTCACGGCCACGTTACAGAAACGTTGTGATGACATTCAAATGCATGGTCGGATGACGTTGTCACGCCGTTGTCTGGAGTCTACAAAATTACGTTGTCACAACGATAAATCGGGACGTTGTGGTAACCATTTGACAACGTTTAAACGACGTTGTAACAACGGCAAATTGTTAGCTGGGAGCTTACTTGTTCCAAAAGGTTGGAACTTGGATGGAAGACAAGTCAAAAGTTCTAGGATTTTCAAGCATGCTGGGCATTGCTTTAATTCATATTTGAATATACTAGGTAGCTGGTGCCTACATATACCATGCCCACAAATACATTCTGCAATCTGCATTGTATGTAACGTAAATTACGAGCATATCATGAGGGTTCATGGGCTAAAATGTTGCCGCTCTAATTCTAGTAGCGGGAGAGTGAATCCTGAAGATGTTCTTGTCATGCCGTAATCAAACAAGCGTTTGTAAACTTCAAAATAATAACAATTTCTTTAAGATATCATACGCATACATGTATTCAAATATACCTCAAATTTGCAGCGAATTCAAAATGAATTAAAATCGATAAAACAATCGATCTCAGCGCCACGTCACTACGCTGCATTTTTCGGAGCCGTGGCGATCGTGGAGGGAGACCTCGTGGGACCCATGCTGGGTTTTCTCGGCTAAATTATGTTTTTGGCGATGGTAAGTGAGTGATACAATTTGTTTTCTGTCAAAAATCTAATCATCTTTCCTTGTGTATGTGTTTCAAAGTCGACTGATGCTGATCCTACAACTGAGACGCACGCGGCGCGGCGTTTTGCTCGATACCCCCGGCGTCAAGAACCTTGCTTGTTCATGAAATTCGTGAAAAAAGGAATTTTTATGACTTTCTATGACTGAAATCGTTTTCTGTACATTGACATGCTATATGTCGGGGATATCATGCTATGTAGCATATACTGCATCAAGTTCAATTGGAAGCTTTGGCATTTGGGGATCAAGAAATTGTGGAAAATGTGGTATAAAATCTTGTCATTTTGTTAGTATTTTATGTAATATGAAATATATTTTAGATCTGTGGATAGTTTATAACAGTACTGTTTTTTTTTCACAATGAAAACACAATAACAATTAAATTAAACCAGATGTCTCGGACAGCAAAGCGTTTAGTCAGTGGAAAATAATAAATGAGGCTTTACATCAATAAACTATACATAACAACCGACCTCCATGAAATACCTAGTAACTCTTCTAATCTTACAACATTAGATGTAACGTATAGATACTGTCGGGCTTAAATTTCATTTTCCACCCCATTTCAGCCTTTTAAATTCAGAAATATACGACCATATCCTTACACTGCTATGTAGGTACTGACTACTGAGGTCATTTTTACCAACAGAAAAATACAAGCTGCCAGAATTTTGTGTCCAGTCATTCCTGAATTTTGTCATGCAAGTGAAAAAGTCCACTGATTTAATTTAATATCAGCCAGTCTAACATAGTTTTCACATTAGCAGCTCAGCTAATTTTTATGTGATAAGTTGACTTTGAAGGAGACTGTGAATTAAAATACTGGCAGCTGGCTATTTTTTCTGTTGATTAAACTGGTCTCTGTACTATAGCCATAGCTGGGCATAAAGTTGTGGTTGTCTATTTTAACAGAAATTTGCTATGAAAATATTAAATGAAAATGCTCAGACATATATGCAGAGCAGAGCAGAGCAGAGCTGAGTGCAGCTCTGAAGACTGCATTGTTTCGGATCACAACTTTGTTTCTGTTAAAATTCTGGTAGCTAGGTCTCGAGTGAAGCCTAGGCCGATAACTGTTCGGAAGTGGAGTGGCGTTGATCATGCGGCACTAGCACATGATTTGTGGAACGTTACTTGGTCACCTGTGCTCAATAGTAGTAACCCGGAGAAAGCGTGGGAGATCTGGCTGGATCTTACTATGCCCATTATTGATCGGCATGCTCCGGTTGTTACCACAGTGATCAAACACAAATCGGGCTTTGGAATTTCTAATGGTACACTCGGGGGCAGATTGATGTTCTATCACTCCCTACCTATCGTGCTTCCATGGCTCAGCACTGGCTGCTGCCAGTGGCGGCACTGGCAGCACTGGCACTGGCAGGCAGTGCTGAGCAGTGCTGAGGACAGGCAACACTGGCAGCTCAGCCAGTGCTGAGCCATGGGAGCCCGATGGGTAGGGAGTGGTGGAACATCAATCTGCCCCCGAGTGTACTAAAAAGCTTATTTGTCTTGCAGCTAAGCAGCTGCGCATTTCTCGCCTTACGAAGGCTCCGTCGGATCAGCTTTTGTATAAAAGATTCCCCCGACAAGTTCGACATGCAATTTCCTTCGAAAGGCATACAAAAATTGAGTCCAGCATTACTAAGAATAGATCTAGTAGAGACACATGGAGTCTCCTTAATTCCGTACTGGGTAAGTCAAGAAGCAGCCATTGTCTTGATGAGACCACAGCTCGCTCATTTAATGAATTCTTCAGCTCAGTGGGGGTTAATATTCAAAACAGTGCTGACAACGCAGCCTGTGTAAGTGAATCTATTGCTGTTCCCACAAGAGTGTTGTCTACTAAGTTTATGCTCCAGCCGGTCACGTACTCAGATCTCCGTCACGTTGTCAAATCGTTGAAAGATAATACAGCGTCAGGTCCCGATGGCTTGCCCACACGTCTCTTCAAATCATTTATTAGGAGTCTCGCCACTCCACTTCTCCATATATTTAATTCCTCAATTGCCACTGGTGTCATTCCCTCTTGCTGGAAAACTGCAGAAATCGTGCCCATATACAAAGGCAAGGGTGACTCGGCGTTGGCGTCAAACTATAGACCCATCTCACTGCTAAGCGTTGTGTCTAAACTTCTTGAAAGACTCGTCTCGCTACAGCTCAGATCATACCTAGATGAATGTTCAGTGTTATCAGAGAGCCAATTTGGCTTCCGACGTCACCATTCGGTTGATCACGCCTTAATCACTCTTACGGAATCTATACGGTCGTCAATCGACAAAGGAGAGGTATGTCTTCTGGTTTCCCTCGACCTAAGCAAAGCGTTTGATTCTGTTGACCATACGCTGCTATTTGAGAAGTTGTGTCAATATGGCATAGAGCATCCATGGTTTGAAAATTACCTTCACGGCAGGACTCAATATGTTCGAGGCTGTTTTGAGAAACGCGATGTGCTGTCGGGGGTGCCCCAGGGAAGCGTCCTGGGGCCAACCCTTTTCAATATTTTCGTAAATGATTTACCAATTGCTGCCAGTGGTTTGTGTACCATAACGCAATATGCAGACGACACGCAAATCATGGTCTCTGGCTCACCTAAGGCAGTAGACAGCATGATAGCCCGCCTTCAAACAGTCACTCGAAGGTTGGCCGCATGGTTCCTGCATCACGGCCTTGCACTCAACGTTAGTAAGACCCAAGCTATTATTTTTGGCTCGAAAGCATCTCTGAGACGTGTCAAACTCGCAGGAATCGATATTTTCGATACTTGCATTCAAATTAAGTCCTCCATACCAAGCCTTGGAGTGATACTGGACGGCTCTCTTACTTGGGAGCAGCATATTACCACTGTGGTAGGCAAATCAATTGGCATGCTGATTAGGCTTAGCTATCTTCGTCATATCTTGCCCATTAAGATCATCGTCTTGCTCATTAACACCCTAGTCCTTCCCCACTTACGTTTTTGTATTTTGGTTTGGGGAAGTTGTAATTTAACGCAGAGGAAAAGAGTCAGCAAAATAATTAACTTCGCACGTCGCATCACTGGGAGAGAGGCCCACAGCTTAGCATGGCATGGTGATGTTTTTTTTTTTCTAAGCCGCCGCCCATGATCAGACGACCAGGAGTGTCCACCCACTGACCCACGCGACAACAGCACCTTACGTTAACACCTCCCAAGACAAAAATATGAAGAAAGTCGCGACACTCCCTGCTAAGAAAAAGGAAAGCAAACAAAACAAAGCTAAATACAATACTTAGTAAGTTAGTAAAATGTCATAAGAAGAGGCAAAGAAGTCAAGACTAAATGTAGCTTGACTGGCCGCTACACCATTCCCAAAGAAGATAGTGAGAAGGAGAGAGTGATCCAGGGGTTAGTGGTAATAAGCGCATGCAAAGCTTGCATCATAGAAGAGGGACAGAGCCTAGTCACACCCGGAGGAGTCAGATCCTCACCGAAGAGGGATACCGAGCTAAGCAAGCTTGTTGCTCGGTAAACCCAGTTCGGTGGGAAGTATAGTAGGGCTGATTTACGTATTGTTACGTATCCAGGAGAACTTAAGTGTGACTTGTAAGTACACAAAACAAGACGAGACGACCGGTATACAAATAGCAAGTAATGTAAATAGACAGAAAGCTAGGTCATTGAGCGATGGCGATGATTCAAAGACATACAGTTAGTACTGTACGTACTGTATGATGTTTAAAATGTTAGCTCTGAATATCATATTGCGGCACTAAAACTCTGAAATGTTAGCTCTGAATATCATATTGCGGCACTAAAACTCATTCGTCAATGCTTGCTTTTCCCAGAATGTACCCCACCTGCAATAGTTTCTTTTTTCAAGGTACGGCAATCGGAACGATCGACGAGGCAATGGAATAATCTTGACCTTGACATTCCGAAAACCGAATATAAAAAGACATCGTTGTCTTACCATGGCTCAAAGTTGTGGAACAGCCTTCCTTATCATGTACGGAACTGTTCTAAAACCGAATTCGTTAATTACATCCATGACAGAGCGAATCATGGTGGACTGAGTGTGTAAACATTTGATGTACCTATGAACATTGTGTATATGTGTGTTGTATGTGTATTGTGTAATGTGTATGTATGAAGATTGTACCACTACCCAACGTAATGCCCACTACTTTGTGGTTGTCGGGTATACTGAAATAATAATAATAATAATAATAATAATAATATATTTGCCATCAGGTACTTACTTAAATCTTAAAGCATTGTTTGATTTTCTTTAAAATGTTTTTCTTGTGCTAACTTTTAAGTTGTTTTCATAGTTAGTAGGTACCTACCTCACTTTTACCTCTTTTGTTTACCTCTTTTTGCTTTTACCTCAAATTTTGCATAGGGATAAATGTTTTTAGGATGTTACTTATTTAGTATATATATCATGCAGATGTTCAGTTGCCCAAAATTACTTGAAAGCTGCTATTTCATGATCCTATCTTTTATCTCCCACTTAACCCTCGCCGGCCGAGGGGGGGGGGGGGGCGGGTGCCGCCCCCCCCCCCCATAGGGTTTTTTCGCGATAGCTCCGAACACGCTGGCGATAGAGAGCTGAAACTTGGCATACCTGACCTTTGATCCAAGCCGCATCTTTTGACACCAACCTCATTTTTGGGTCAGGTCAGGTCACTGACCTATGACGTCATAAGTGAACCTCTGCACGGTCTTCAGATGTCGCAACTTCGCAACGCCCTCACTGCCAGAGGAGATGTCACAGGGAAATGAAACTTGCAGGATCTAGTATCCATTATGAGTCTCACAACTTGTATATCTCGGATTTTTCCTAAAGGTCATATGAGGTCAGGTCATTTTCGTGACCTCACCATTATAAGTCAATGGGGAAAAATGAAAACTGCTATTCTGGCGCCAGGAACGATCTCCAACTATCTCAAGCACACAGAATCGTGTTTTGATGCACTCCTTGCAAGGTTAGATGCGTCACTTTTGCAATGTTGACCTTCCGTGACGTCATTTATGACGTCATCAAGGTCATATTAGTTTTTCGTCAATAACTCCCGATCAAATTGAGCTAGCGAGTCGAGAAAGCCACCAATGGACTCAGGAAGACCTGCCGAATCGAATGATATGCGACATGACCTCTTTCGACCAGCTTCGTGACCTGGGGGTGCTGACCTGACCTTGACCTGAGGTCAACACCCCAAGTTGACCTGACCCGAACAAAAAGTATATCATTCGACGCGCCTGAGCGAGGCGAACACGATGCTGCCAAAATCGCGGCTCTGCGACCGTTTGTTGCGAAGTTATTCACCAAAAACTGAACCGTACCCTGGGGCACTTGACCTGACCTCAGAGGTCACCGGTTGACCTAGGACCTTAAAATCGGGTACCAATCTCTGCGTCTCGTAACGGCGCACACGCTCGTTTTTTCCGCGACGCGCTAGCTCCACCAGGGGCGAAACGGCGAGGGGGGTCGTACCCGCCCCCCCCCCCCCTCGGCCGGCGCGTATGTAGAAAACCAATAGGTCCGGCGAGGGTTAAGGTGATAGTCTAAATTGGCTTTGAAATTAACTAAGAGATGCAGATTAACAGCTAAATTGCTGCTGATTTCAATTGAGTAACAATTATGTAACAAAATGCCAAAGTGTAGGGTTCCCATCAAAGCCAGAAATGATCTTCCATCCCCTCAACAGGCTTCAACTGACTAGCTTCTCCCACCGATCTCAGACCATCCCTGTCAAAAGTCTCACACTTGCATGCTTGCCAGAGTGTGACTGCACCTAAGCCCGACCAGCTGTTAGTTCAATGCTCTACCAGCTGAGCTATGCTATGCATGAAGGAAGTTGCTGACAACATTGTCCTTTTTCAGATATTCTAAATCCCTCCATCTTCGGCCATGGTAATAAAACATCGGAAATCAGCCTTCCGTTCATTTCTTTCTCACCATGCAGCATACTAATGGGGGGTTGTTCTAAAACCAGTCCTTTTCTACCCCCCTATACCCCCGCGGGAATTCCGCTGTAATGCATCCAATGTGTCGCGTGCTATCAAAGTGTCACCAAATTTAAACCCAACGTCCTAACATCCTAACGTCACCAGTTAGCTGTTCGTAACCCCGTCTGATCCTGAACCCAGCCTCCCCCTCCTGAACTGGGCGTCGGCCCTGGTGACACGGCACGCGGCAAGATGGGCATTCAGGACTTGCAGCGCTACATCGAGGCGCACGTGCCGGGCGCGTGCGTACCGGTGGACCTGCTGAAGATCGCGCGCGGCGTGACGCTGCACCGTCCGCGCACACCGGGCAGCCGGCACCGGCCGCCAGCCGCCGTCGAACTCTGCCTGGTACTGGACGCAGAGGGCTGCCTGGACAGACTCTATGGAGGCTACTTTTCAGGTGAGGAGCAGTGCGTAAGCAGCGAGGCGCAGGTGGGGGTAGGTGTGGTGAATGGCGACAAAACAGGTGGTCAGATATAAAAGCGTTGATTCACCGCGTCCTAAGCATGCATGGATTGACGCGAGTAGGGTATGCATGAATCACAGGACTTTGTGCGATTTTTGATCTGAAATACGATCTAACGAACTGAAGGCAAAATGTCACCGTCAGGGGATGATGCTTGGCGGAGGCAGTAGGTCAGGACTCAGGATAATGTCGAGGAAATGAATCCTGTCAAGTGGCAGACAATGCTGCCAGTGCATTCTATCGAGGTGCTATTTTCTTGATGTAAAAAATCAGTTTAGTGGAATGTTTGAAGGGATTGATTGACGATCCGTCCCACTCACTGATTTCAATTAGCTGCGGCTGCTCCCATCAATCGCAGTACTTCACTGTCTGGGATAGTCTGTCCTAGAACCGTAGCTTTTTTGGAAGACCTGTCGCGATTATTGCCGAGTACTGAGAGTTCCAACTTCGGGCATTCCAGTTTGGATCTTCTTTACACAGTTGTTCTTGCTTAGCCCTCTCATCGGTGATTTGGAAGAACAGATGCCATAATCACCTCTGTCGGACCGTAATCCGATCCCATGACGAGCCGTCGAACGCCCGAAATTAAGGTCACCCAAATCAGCACCCAGTTGATATGCTGGGGTCAATTTGTCATACTCGGTCTCAGCTTTTTTACTGCCTAGCGAGGTCTATCAATGGCTGTAGGTAATTCTTAGCCGAATTAACGACTGAGTAATCGTATGGGTCCGTGATAGCCTGCTGTAGAGGCAATACGCCAGTGGCGCTTTCCCGGCCCGTCGCACACCGGCAGCGGGGATGTCGCTGCTCGGCCGTATTGCCGTTTATTTTGGCTGTCGGTGCTAGCCGGTTGAACCGTTATGTGCGACATTTTGCAGCCTGCATAGTGCGAGGGGGCGGGACGAAGGCACGTCGGGGCACGCCCCTTTCCGCCCCTCCCCCTCCCGCGCACACTAACACATAATTCAGCTGCGCTGCGCCGAACTGTTGTAAATCACTGACATGGTCTGTCGCCACTCGCCAGCCGTTGGGTTGTAGTCCGGCTACTCGCCGTGTCCTGCCTTCCCATATGGCGGATTTGGCCGAACAGTGCACGGCACGGGTCCGTTCTCAGGGACAGGGGGGGGGAGGGGTTCGCGTCTAGTGACGTCAATGCCGCTGCGGTCGGTGCCGATTCCGTGCACCGGTCCTCACGTCCGCCCGCTCCGCCTGTGTGTGCACTGTGCACCGTTTGCTCAGTACGGTGTACCTCCGGTGGGGCGGCGGGAGGGGTGGGCTCGGGAACTATTGTCGGCCAGTGCAGTTAGCGAGTTAGCTACAGTCAGGTCTGGACCGCAGCAGATTTGTCAGATAGGTGCAGGTGCCGGCGCTCGGCTTAGCTCCCATACATTGCGGTCCTAATACGCGGCTATCTTTTCCTTCTGGGAAATGTCTCCATTTGTGGACTGATAGAGCTTTCGCTGTGCAATGTCACAGGCGAAATCAAAGACTTTGGCGACGCTTGTGATGGGATGACAGAATGCTAAGCCAGTTACTAAGCCAGATAATGTCCAGTTACTATTGGACATGAAGGCTTTAAGGCAAAAAATGATGCATTTTATGTCTTTGAGTAATGCGGAGACAGAATTATACATACGTTATGCATCCGAATATGCAATGGCTGCTCGTTCGTTCTTTGGTCTGCTAGTGCTGTTTCGCAGGGCGATTGCCGACTGGCGTATCTCTGTCCCCTATCTCTCTCCCTCTTCCTCCATGTAGCCCGCTGACATATCCCCTCTCCCACAGACTGGGTATGCGGCGGCCAGTGGAACCGGATGGTGCAGTTCCTCTCCATCCTCGTCCAGACCGTGCAAAACAACAACATGGAGCTGGCCGTCTACTTTTCGGGCGCGCTCGAGCTGCCCCGCATGCGCGAATGGGTGGGCCGACAGTACAACCAGCGGCGAGACATCAACCAGGCGCTCAAGCACGTGGCGCTGAAGGCCACGCCGCCGCCCAAGGTGTGGTGGACGGCTCCGGCGTGTCTGCGCACCGCCCTGCGCATGGCGCTGCGCCACCTCAAGGTCCAGGTGCTCTGCTCGGTGGAGGACCATCGCCAGGAGGTGATGGCGTTCTGTCGGGAGAACAACTACCACGGCGTGATGGCGGAGGATGCGGAGTACCTGCTGCTCGGGCCGCCGCGCTACTTCTCCGCCAAACAGATGAAACTCACCTACAAGGTAGGGGTGGTGCCGGGGATGGAAAGGAAAGATTAGAGGGGTTGTGAGGGCGCGTAAATATGCAGGTGTCAGACGTCAGTGGCTAGCCGGAGTGGTGAAATGATACTGCAGGAGCTTAGGATTGTTTAGGATGTTAAAACAAAAATCATTGAGACAGTCGTGCCAGTGCCTGTCAGCGCCTTTTGAGAGAACTAAATGTGTGATCTTCAGGAGCTGCAACTGTGATTAGATATTCTCAGGAACTGAACAACGGTTGAAGAACAGGAACAGGACAACTTGCGTACTTTTACGCCGTCGCCCGTCCGCTATATTCGGTTTTAGTGTCTCTTTTTCGTCCCTGACAATTCTCGCCTTCTTTTCGGCAGGGTTCTCTGGAGACGAAGGAGTTTATCCTGAACGAGGTGGCGCGCGGCCTGGACCTGCAGCCCAACCGGTTCTGCCTGCTAGCCGCGCTGCTGGGCAACTACCAGCTGACGGAGGAGGAGCTGGCAGAGTTCCACGGACGGCTGGCCAGCCGCGCTGGACACGCCAAGGTAGGCTCACTAGACACTCTGTGGGCAGGTCAAAGTGAGGTCATTAGTCACTCAACAACCAGCTGCAAACGTATATTAATGCCTGGGTGCGTCACGGTGAGCCCGCTAGTTACTCATTGCCGGATATTGGCAATGAGCATGCCCAAGTGAGCTCACTAGTCGCTCAGCTATAAAGCCGGACACCAAGGTACGCTTACTTTCTATTTGTGCGGGAAGGCTAGCTTATACAGCGCAAAGTTTCTCTCTCACATCGCCGAAGGAAGCTTACACATGATCAATGGGACTGCCGACTGGAGGTTTGCCGCTCACGGACCTCAAACATTAGCTCGCCCACCGCAAAAGTGAGCTGGTCGGACAACTATCCGCCCCCCACTTGGCACAAATTCTGCAAATCTTTCAGGACAGTTCACACGCTTCCAGACTTAGAGCTATTTTCGGACAGAGTTATCGAATCCAGTGAACGCTACGTTATGCTGAAGCCATTTTCATGGCGACGAAGGATGATTGTTGTCACCTGACAGCATTTCATGATTGTTTTCGTTATCGTGTGTCCAGCAATGGGAACACCATGACACCTGGACCGGCTATTGGCACGACTAGAATAATTCCCTGGTCCATGGGAGCCACGTAGCTTATGCAGTATGCACCGTAGTGACGCATTGTTCAACCTCGTACCATCAACACTCACCGCAGCTGTGCTATGGCATCCACCCCCGAGCGGCATCGCCTAGCGTTTGTACAATGTACGGGCCTCCAGCAAAAGAGTGGTTGGTTAGCCCACGGAATATATAGTCTACGATACTTGTGTCGTAGACTATATATTCCTTGGTTAGCCTATGTGCTTTTGGTGCGATAACTTTGAATGACAGAGACACTCCTGTAAAATGACTCAATAGAAATGAGAAGAGGGTTCGTGCACACACTTCGGCAATGGTTTTCAACAGCCATTAGACGTATTCATCAATGCAGATCGATTATTGTGATGATGGCAACCAACCGGCAACCACTTAATACCTGGAGGGCCGTACGGCCACCCCTCCCTACTTCCCCTAATTCCGTTATCGCTGGCCGTTCCATACCCTCCGTTGTGGGCAGGTTCTGTCTAGTGTCTACCATGGCGTGCGACCAGGTGTGTTGTGTGGTGTGCCGTGCGGTTGCGCGGTGGACGGGACGAGTGGGTCGGAATCGATTGTGGGCGGGCATCGCTGGCCGACGGTGGTTGGTCGGCCGACGGCGGCTGCGGTATCGCGCCGCCGTCCGTTGGTCAGGTGCCGGGGGTCAGCTTCGTGCTGCTACATGAATCGTTGGCAAATGGGACGTCTTACACCGCCTCTCTTACCCCGCCCCGCTACCTCACACACAGACGCATGAAATGTCCGAGCTGGGCCGCGGAATTTTGAGAGCCTATTGGAATTCGCAATAGGGTAACCTACCTACATTCACCATTTTAGTTACGTGTAACTGTAAGACAGGTGTAAATAATGGAGAAATGAAGCTAACTATCATTAGTTCCTTGTGTTATTGTCACATGTGCAACTAAAATCTGAATGATATAGTTTTCGCGGAAATTACATCTAACAATCTAGATATTGCTGTAAACTGATTCAAGAGGAATCTAGTGATCGGCGCAAATAAGCATCTCTATTGGCTTTTGACTGAGAGCTGACACTGTTTTTTAACCGTGCGCGTCTTATTTGTACGCACTAGTGTAAGCTTCTGACCTGTAACGTAACGTTGTCGGCGTTACTGTAACGTAACGCTGTCTGTGCAACGGTGTCTGACATGTACTCTACGCTACCGCACGTTTCTAGCCAGTGCCCAGCGTTACTGCACGCCAGTACCTTAACTTTTGTCATATCTCTTCCACAGGCCACTCCCGAGGAGGTGACTGGCCTGGTGGTCGAGTTTGTGCGCACGCTGGCCTCGGCGGACGACCTGGACGAGGTGGGCACGCTGGTGTTCCAGTCTGCCACCGACCCGCGCGTGGCCAAACTGCGTGCCAGCGTCCGCTACTACACGGACGCCAGTCGCGACGATCTCAAGTACAAACCGGCCGGCGGCGGTGAGTGACGACGGATGGACAGGAGACGGATGGAGAGTGGAGGACGGAAGACGAGAGGTTGGTGGATGTCTGGGTGTTTGTCGATGCTCTGAGATTAAAGGGGTCGGAGATGAGACTGCTGGCTACATGCCTTTTTTTGCTGAATAATAAAATGACTGCAATAGCATTAGCGTTCAAGGAATCGGCAGTATACAGTGTTCAATTTACAAAGATCAATATCTCTTGAGCGTGCATTTATTTAAGCCCCACCACAAACTGAAAGGTAAATGAAGACAGTATGAGTAAGGCATAGCACGGGATGCATAGCGCGGGATGCACATGCACATGCCAAACACATGCGGAAACCAGAGACACATGCGCATGCTCAAGACCGTGCACATTTACGTATACATATACAGCACATCAGGAATGTAAACAATTAAACTAACAATCATCCCCTTATCTTTTTTGTTCAATACGCGAGTCACAACAAAACAGGTCTTCAACGACACCTCCTTCAACAACGATACCGTAGTCATCCTCATAGTGACACCTAACCCGATTCACAGAATACCCGTCTTCAGCACGTCTAACAGAGCATTGGAAGATGCCGTCCTCTTGGTCAGACTGTCTGCCAGCTGCTGAGAACTGTCGACCCAGCAGACCCTGGTCACCTCGCCAACTTCCAACATCTGCCTAATCCTGGCTATGTCAATCCGAAGTCTCTTGTCCTGCACCGCCTTGGTCGAGTACAGTGCCCTGTACAGCCCTCTGCTGTCTATATAGCACATCACACTCATGTCTCCTGACCCGTCATACAGTGCCTCAGAAATCAGCGCAGCCAAAAGGACAGCTGCATCAGCACCATCTTGAAGTGCCATGCACTCTGCAGCCAACGTACTTCTCACAATGCGCTTGATCTTTGCTGAAGACCAGGCAAGTGGCGCGCATCTTCCCCTTTTGTCTCTAAGGAACACAACGTATCCTCCCTGCGAGGACCCATCTGGAAGATTGCCGTAACTCGCATCGCTGTACACTACCACCGAGCTCTGTGACAAGTCCAGATGAGGATATTTCAGACTAACCCGCGCCGACTGAGCCTTTCGAACTACCTTAGCAGCCCTTTGTAGATCAGCTACCTTTGGATCCCTAATGGAACAAGAGAGATCACAAACATCAAATGAAAGATCTGGTCTTGTCTGCGTGGCCAGCCAATTGATTTGTCCTGTCACGCCACGGAGGCGGGTAAGCTCTGCAGGAGAGAGCTCACTGTCTTTCTGCATTCGCCTCTCTGGTGAGAGATTTGGCTCTTGCAGCTCCTCAGCCTGCGGCATCTGGTGAACCTTGATCACCTTATCAGACTGCTGGTGAATGTGCAGCCCAAGGTACTTGAAGATTTCAGATTCCTCAGAACCCAGGAGGAAGACCTGCCGCAGCTTCTCGATCACCTCCTTCTCGAACCTTGAGGAACCACACCACAGGAAATCGTCCACATGACAGGTGATGATGCCCTCAAGGCCGTCCTCAGCTCTCCAGTAGAAAAGCGCCGCATCAAGTTTGCTGGCCACCATTCCCAGTGCGAGGAGCTCCCGTCTGACACGCAGGTACCAGTACCTGCTGGCATCATTCAGGCCATACACGCACGTCTTCATTTTCCACACATGTGACCCTGCGTTAGCCTCAGAAGGCGGGCGCAAGAACACCTCGCGTTCGAGAGGAGAACCCTGAAGGAACGCTGCCTTCACGTCGATACTATGACAGCTCCAACTCTGTGAGGCTGCAATGGCGAGCACCACCCTTAGTGACTCCTTCCCGCACGTTGGCGAGTCAGTCTGGACTCCAGATGTGTCCTCCTCAAAACCTCTGGCAACAAGTCGAGCCTTGATGCGTGAGCTACCATCAGGATTACCTTTTTCAGTTATCACCCAGCGGCAGCTGATACAGTGTTGTCCTTCATCGGGAACAGCGGAATACACCTCATTCTTTTCCCAGTTTTCTAACTCACACAATTTAGCCGCCATGATGTCATCCGAGGTGCACACCAGTACGTCTTGATTCAAAGGCTTCCAGTCATCAACATCCCGCCAGTCTACACATTTGCCAACTTCATCACCATCGTCAAGAACATTCAAAAAGGATTTGTACTTCCCTTTGGCTTTCCCAGCACGACTCAGGACTGTGGCACTCTTCCAATCAGAGGAATCACGAAGAACATAGGTAATGCGCGACTTAGCGCGAGGTATCGAGGGTTTGTCACGAACGACGACGCCACCACCGACCACGACACTGGAATCTCCGGTGGCATGAGCTGGCGAACTGGGTTCCGGACCAGAGCCACCATCACTGTCCATGGCATTGGACTCTCTGGTAGCCTGAGCTAGCGATCCGGGTTCCGAACCAGAGCCGCCTTCGACATCTTGCAGACCGCCAGTGGGTGATACCGTCACCAACTGGCGTTGTCTTGCGTCCCCAGACACCGTACACGAAGTAGACCTGGAGTTCTGCTCATCATCATCGGAGTCTTCAGCAGACTCCGGGATCGGAGCGCTACTGATCTTCTCCAACTTCTGGGTCCCTGGAGCCGGATCCGAAGTTGACATCCGGCCTCGCTTTGTCAGTTCCCGCGGCTCACTTGTGTCGCGCACGACAGCGCTTGTGTGACACCTGTAGTACACGCCGCCATGTTTCACCAGGATCTGCTTGTTTTCCTGTCCAATGACGACACCTGGACCTCGCCACTTGTCATCTTGGTGACGTCGGTACAGAACGACATCACCCGAGCAAAACCTCTCACCACTGGGACGGACCTGGTGAAGAAGTGCTCTCTGCAACTTCTCGCTCGACTCGTTCTGAATGAACGTCTGCCTGGCAGAATGCATGGCGTTCAGGTGTGTCCTCACCAAATCACTTCCGGAAGGAGGTCCCAGAGCCGGAGGTTTGTCATGGAGACACGCCGGGTTGTTCGGATTTCGCCCAAACACAAGCTGATTAGGACTGAATCCCAGGTGAGTCTCAAGAGAGTTCTTGGCTGACACAGCCCAAGCCAGAGCAACCTCGAGAGAGCATGGAGTGTCATCCATCACCTTCTTCACTGTGCTGGCGATGATACCGTTGTACTTCTCATTGATCCCATTCGACCAAGGGGATTCTGCAGCAGTAGTCCGCACGCGTATGTTGAACGCCTCGGCCATCTCTCGGAACTCTTCATTGTTGAACTCACCTCCATTATCAGACAAGAACTGACCGGGTGCCCCGAACCTAGCTATCCACTCAGTCATGATTGCACGCAGGATCGTTTGCTTGTCTTTGTTTTTCACTACCACGCACGCACTGTACCTCGTGGCCAGATCTATCATGTGGCAAAACCATACTCCAGGTCCCCACTGCTTTAGATCCAGCGCAACGACATCATTGAAGTCGCGAGCCATCCCAAAACCAACCACTGGTCGGGGCAGACATCTCCTATACCTCTTACATACATCACAGGTTTCCTCCACTGAGACAAGCATGCGAAAGAAATCCTTGTCCTGGACGCCAGCATCAAGACACAGGGACTGCAGTTTCACACTCCTAGGATGACCGAACTGACGATGCAACTTCCTAGCTATTTGCATGCGCTCCTTCTCGTTGGCACCCTCAAACTTTGAACAAAAAAGTACCTGCTCTATGTCCTGCCTGGCACTCACACTACCGACATGAAACTTCGCCACAGGTACTATGTAGTGGCCATTTGAGGTCACAGATAGCTTGACCTCAGTGTCAAACAGTACCGCCGTGTCTCGGGAAAAATCTAGCAGCGCATCACACTTCTTCAGCGACTCCTTGCTGAGGAGTAAAGGTATCTCATAGGGAACCACATCAGCAGCCACGCGCACCGTCTTACCGGCTACCAGTGCTGGAAACGTTACTTTCTTTAGAGAAGTAACCTTCTCACCATCCCCAAATCTAAACGTTGTGCTGCTGGGCTCCTCTACCACTCGCTCCGCGTCATCTGAAGACATGGCATCCAAGTGACATTTGTACCACACCTCACCACACACGGTCTTACTACATCCACTATCGATGATACCATAGCCTAGTGTTTCGCCCAGCAGTCCCTCCGTCTTTGAACGTTCAGTTGGTCCACTTTCACATGTATCCCTCGCAAACAACGTCACGAATACCTCCTCGTCCTGTGTGGGGTCATGGCTATCATCGTCACAAGCAGACGCCTCGAACACCTCACCGCGATCGGGGCAATCTCTGGCCCAGTGAAACCAAGAGTTGCACACTGCACAAGTGGTCACATTACCCCTTAAATCCCGTGGATTCTGCCTAGATCTAGCCCTTGTGCGCTGGTTGGCGGATTGTCCAGCAGATCCAGGATCTCTCGAGCCGCCACGTGAAGTCCAGGTAGTCCCACTGCCACGCAGAGGCGGTCGTGAGGCGAAGCGCGGTCCACCACTTCGTCCTCTTCGGTTGAAACCTCGTCCGACACTCTGTGCTCTGCCTCGCTGTACGAAGAGGGTGTCGGCCGCCTGGCCGAGCCCTGGTTCTGCGACTGTATCCACGGGCTCGACTTTTACTGCCACTCTCGCTGACGGCACACCCTGAGAACTACTGTCTGTGAAGATCTTCTTCAGCTGGGTTTGCATGTTTGCATATGTGAGCGACGGCAGAGTTGCCCTTGCTAGCTGTTGATGTGCATCTGAAAGGTTAGCACTGCGAATGAGTCTGTACGCTAGAACACCATCAGGCAACTCCAGCTTGTAGTGCTTTGCCTTCTGATACAGTCTTTCAAATGTGTTGATGTACTCAAACACAGACATGCCAGATGGTCGCTCATATCTCTCGAACGCATCATATGCCTCAAAGGCTGCATTGTTCTCATCTTTCAAGAACAACTCGTCCAACTTCTCTATGAGAGCATCAAGTCCAGTATCACTGTTCAGAATCTCTATTGACACCTCACGGGCTGCATCTCTGGCAGATCCACTTAAGGACAGGAACAGTGCTGGTCCCAACTTGGACTTCTCCAAGCTAGTGAAAGCTTTCCACACTTTGATCTCATGCTTCCACTCTGAATATGGCAAATCTTGACGCATAGGTGGTGGGGCTTTGAAATCTCTAGATGCCATCTTGTAACCACGCTCTGCTACCAATGTTCAATTTACAAAGATCAATATCTCTTGAGCGTGCATTTATTTAAGCCCCACCACAAACTGAAAGGTAAATGAAGACAGTATGAGTAAGGCATAGCACGGGATGCATAGCGCGGGATGCACATGCACATGCCAAACACATGCGGAAACCAGAGACACATGCGCATGCTCAAGACCGTGCACATTTACGTATACATATACAGCACATCAGGAATGTAAACAATTAAACTAACATACAGTTCTCGTGAAACTGCCTGATTTGCCGAATAAACGCAAGATGTTACACTCGGTTTGATGATATGATTCGTAGATGTCGCTTTTATCGATGATGTTTGCATTTCATACCCCTGAATGACAGGGACAAGGGATGTAAAAGACGGATTGGGGATCAGTCCTGTAAAGAGAGGATCGAAGTCCAACTTTTGGCACCGTGTGAGACCGCAACTGTACCCAGAAGCAGTGCAGTAATCGTGGCTGCATGGATAGCTACTAGCAATGGGGCGGACGTTTGGAAGCAGGAGTTTTTTTTTTTAAGAGTAGTAGAACTGGGTGGCTTGCATGTAGTGTCGTCTAGTGCTTATTGATCGCTCAAACCCGACGTTCCCCTTCGCTCCCCAGCAGCGGCGCGGGCGGCCACCAAGCCGGCGGACGCGGACCCGGCGGCCACCGAGACGCGTCGTCTGTACGATCGGGCGGCCGGCGGCTCGCAGGACGGACGGACGACCGTCAACGGCGTCCTGGCCCAGCAGATGAGCAGACTCAGCACGGACGGTAGGTGATGGGGTGGGGGCGTCAGACCCCAGGAGCTCCAGCCGCCAAATAGAGGATCGGACGGCCGTTCTTCTAAGGGACGTTTGCTTACTCTGTAACCACACGCTTATCTTTTTTCTTCACTCGCATTCTATGGCATACGACCTCCTTAGCGTGAGCCTTTGCCTCGAATCCATGCATTGAAAACGCGGGATTCGGGATCAAGTTGTTCAGTGGATTCGGGTGCCGTAGCATTATCAGCTATGGTTGCCTGCAGCTATATGGCCTGCACTCTGCATATATTCGATCTTCTGCCGTTTGATCACCGTGCTTTGTTGGTTTATATATTTACCTGCTTATTTTGTGACACTGTTTGTTTTTCTTCTTACTACAACTTGGAAAACGCATTCTTGTTCGCATGTATCGCTATGGGCTGTATACTGCACAGAACCATCTACGCCTGGAGTATGAATGACAAGTGTTATCTTCCGCCGACAGATGGTGCTGCTCCGGGCTCCTTCATGGGCGGCTCGGCGTCCAACGGGCACGTGGACGGGGTGAGTGGTGATAACAAGGGGCGGCTCTGTTCCACCACACGTCCAATAGTGGACGGGACAGGGGTCAATTATAGTGGATGGGGTCAGAGTCCATTTAGCGGACGGGGGGAGAGAGTTCATAGTGGACGAGAGCGAGAGTCCATGGAGTGTGTGTGTGTGGGGGGGGGGAGGGCGGGAGTCCATAGCTGAGGACGGGAGGAGTCTATAGCGTACGGGTAGGAGTCCATTGCGGAGAGGGCCGGGAGTTCATTGCGGATAGGATCGGGAGTTCATAAAGGACAGGGACGAGGTTGGTGGTGGTAGGAAGACGCCTATCGTAGCACTCAATCAGCGTCACGAGGGGAATTCCAGCGGGTGGCGCTGTGCCACATTCTGGTCTGAGCCCGACCTTCTCATTCGTATTTTAAAAAGCACCAACGATTGCAAATGGTTTTATGTACGCAACAAGGACGATGTTTAAGATGTGAGCGGCAGAAGAGAAAGTATGTAGTTAAATAGTAATGGGATGCCCGTTGTATAATCATGACACAGCACCATTACTTTTAAATGAAGAGAAGTGTTCTACGGGAATTACATTGCCTTACGCTATGGCATGTGTGCCCCCAGCCGGAGGACGGTCCCCAGGTGAACCTGGAGCCGCCGCCACTGCCCTCCGTCACACCAGAGGTGCTGCGGACGGCGGCTGAGCGCCATCAGAAGGGTCTGATGGCGCCCTGGGTGTACCAGGTGCTCTCACAGGTGAGTCAAAGACTGAACGGTGTACTGACAGTTCTAGGTTTGCCTTCAATCGTTCTTGTCTTTGTACTCCTCAGTCGTAATAGGCACCTTTTGCAGTTAGATGCTTGTCAGTTGTCATTAGAAGGGTCTCATGTTCTCTTGGTATGGATGGCACTATACTATATTCTTCATATTAATCCTAGAGAGTAATTTGCATCGTTGTTTGTTGGGGATGAAGGGAGCGACGGCAGGCTGGGTCACCATGTAGAAGTTGTTTGCAAGCTGCTGTGTTCTTAATCAGTCGCCATGACCAACGGCCGTAAATGTGGTGGCGCCCGCGCCAATCATCGCCACTTTGTGATCTCACATGCCACATCGTAAAACCCCGTTCGTCTTCTGCCGCAGGGTGAGCTGCAGCTGCCGGTGTGTGTGGAGGATGAGCTGGGCCGCGAGCTACCCAACTCGGCTCTCTTCTACCGGCCGGTCCGCGAGCGGGTGTACGCGGTGCTGTTCAACCTGTACCACCACAGCTTCCTGCACAACCGCGACAAGGACAAGCCGGCGGAGGAGCAGCACCAGATCCCCACCGTGCAGGTAAAACAGCCACCACTTCTCAGCTGGTGTGCATGCAATTACTGCACTTACCTACTGCACTTCTGCAGGTAAAACAAAGTCCCCTAGAGAGGGCGTAAACTGTGTAAAACGTCCATCACTTACTGCGCCATATAATTGGTGTGCGTGGTGAAGAATTGGAGCCTTAGAAAGCCAGTAGACAGAAAGTGATGTGAAAACTAAGGATTGCGGTCCTTTTGGTTATTGTCTCGTCTTTGACGTGTTGTCTGTAAATTGAATTTGAGCTTACTTAGTTGTCCCACGTTCCATTTATCCTTGATACTCGGTCTTTTGGCGTTTTCTAGCCAAGCTGCTCACAGTTTTTGAGTTTCATTGCGCTTACTTCTGCGAAGTTTTTTTTTGTCATTTTGGGTATTTTATCTTCGTCCATGCATTTTTAGCGCATTCGCCTTTGTCGTGAGGATCAGTGTGCTCTGTGCGCCCTATGCGATGTGTGTTGTGTGAAATGTGTGTGTAATATGTGTCCTGAAGTGTGTAATTCGCATTCACCGTCAACTGGTGTGTTCATCATACGTCATGTGCATTTTGCACGTACCGTGTGCAATGTTTATCACATGATTTGTGTTCAAGTATCGTGTAGGTACAAAGCTTATGCTAAGATATGTATAAGTACCGTGTGCAATGTGTATTATGTGTCATGCACGCTTCAAAGTACGATTAAATAGCCCTCGGCTTTGACGCCCCCAACGGGACACGATGGGATGATGCTTTTGTACGGTGACCGTGCTTTTATAGACCGCACTGATCAATAGTGTTTATAATTCACTTAGAGTGATCACTGCAGTGCATAATAACCGTTATATAAATAACCGTTATATAACTATTCTAGACTTGTCGTGGCTACTTTTCACGTGACGTGCCGTCTCATGTGTCTCGCTGGGTTGCTCGCGCCGATAGCAGCTGTATCGTTTCATGTGCACGTTGACAGCGATAGCAGCCCGGCACTCTGCCGCTCAGGTGTGGGCCGTCAGCCGTCGGTATCGCAGCGCCAACTGCCGAGTCATGCCGTCTGAGCTGCTCCGCGAACCTGACAACGAATGAATGGGGCCCGCCCGGGGGCGACTCTGCGTGGTGCGTAGTGCGTACCTCTCGACCTTGCGTGTGACGCTCTCCCTCCCCCACGTGGCGTGGGACTGCGTGCTATCCTCCATGTGGCGATGTGCCCTCCCCCCCCCCCCCGCTCTCGTGTCCGACTGCCGCCGTGGGTGGTCCCTGCGGTGACCTGACCTGACCGTACTCTGCTCCCACCAGGTCCGTGAATGGGCGTACAGCCGCGCCAACCCGTACACCCGGCCCGACCTGGTCACCGCGCAGCCGCTCAACTGGGGCGTGCCGACCGTGCAGCGGCTCTGGTTCGGGTGAGTTGACGACTACCTACTCAGAACTCAGACAAGGGGTTAAGACTGTGGACTAGACTACGGACTACGGACCTGACATGAGACCATCACGGGTCACGGAGCGTGGGCTAGCAACGGACTACAGAGAACAGATCATGGGCATTCAGCACGTCATATCACGGGACACAGGAGTGAAGGAGGGAGAATTGGTACGGCCGACCAGCCGGAAACTCTAGAATGAGACGCATGTTCACAGTCGTGCCTCCAGTACTACGCATATCGACAACGCACAACTGCTACGCAGCACACATCACGGAAAACGTCTACGACGTTGAACTATGGAACACGCCGCTCATCTTCCTTCCAGCAATGCCACACCACTCGAGTACTGTTATGCATACATAAATGACAGCTCAACCTTGTAAGGTCACGCGGTCTGTTCCGTCGGGCACGGGTCCACTGCGTAGCATCCGACGTGCCTTGTCGTCTTGTGACCGGCGTACACGCGTGGGTGACAGCATGTTTGGCGTGTCATCACGCGCCGTCTGCGTCGTGGGAGGGACCGCTGGGATCTCCAGTCGGCCTCGTGTACGAAGCCCCGGCTGAGGCAGTATGGAGGTGTGCCGCGTCCGGTGTCTGTCCCACTACTCGTACCGCTGGCAGACTAAGCACGGGTCGTCAGGTTGTCAAGGCACCGGTATATACCGGAATATACTGGTTATTGTGGCGCTGGCCCAGATCATGGCACCCATAGAGACAGTGTTTGTCATTTGACATGGGCCGTCCTGGAGGCTGGCTCACGGGAGGTCGCCATTCTAGGCCTTTAGTTACATCATTTCGGACGTTGACCGCGATTATAAATTATAATCGTTCTAAATATTTGTTTTCGTCCGGTCTTCGCAATGCCATCAACGATAAGTGCTAGCAATATCTGTGCTGTTGCGGACTGTAGCGTCCCTAATCTCTGATGCTCAAAACAGCTATCTGCCTATTATATAAGTAGAATGTTTCCTTCTCCATGATTCACGTGAACGGCCCTCTTTGACTTTATGAATGACTCATTTAAGGACGTCTCATTCAATTTGCGGACATCTGACTCTAAATGCTGCATGATGAATTTCTCTGGCTCAGCTCTCATGTTTCATTCACATTGAAGACCTCTGCCCATAAATTGTCTAGATGGTACTTAGGAAATGTATTGTGCATCTCCATTGCGTCATTTCTACTTCAAATATGAGATCATATTTTCATTGACAGTATCCTGCTGTAAAGCAGTAAATCAAGCTGGCGACTCGAGTGGGCGTATTAGCACTGGCCGCTTCCACAAACCCAATCTCATGGCAGGCCTCTTTGCAGACGCTGAGTGGGCGGGCGGCGCTATCATTGAAGCGTTTCCGGCCGCTTGTCCCGCGCCTCTCGATACGCCCTATCACGTGGGAGGCCCCGGCGGGTGCCGACACTGTCGTAGTTTTCCATGACGTGACCACTTGACTGACCTCGGGCTCCGTTTACAATACAGTGGGCGCCTGATGAGCGGTATCACGCCGACTGTTTGCTCTCTATCCCGGCCTCTTCAGGTCGGCGCCACGCTAGACGTCGGCCGCCGCCGCTGTTTAGGTCCCAGCCGCCGTGACGGCGCATATTTCGTTGGGGTGGGGTGGAACCGACGCCCGCCCGCGTGGAGACGGGGAGTGGGCGGACCCCCGGCGACATCTGTCCGTTTCAGGCCTGTGTTAGCAGCTGTGTGTCAGCTCGGAGCGGTTCTAGTACTCAGGGCTGGTTTGAAAGGCGTGTCGCCACAGCTGCTGATACTCAGCCCAGCCCGGAGGTCGGCGATGGCGCCGATTGAATCTGAATCCGGCGAACTTGGTGTAAACCTCAGCTGTGTTTCAACTAATCGTGGGCCAGCTGTGTACTTGGTATTGCCAGGGCAATTTATTAGTCTATTTTGTGGGCGGTTTCTTTTCCCATTCTCTTGCTGGCTGTTAGATCACTGTTAGCTAACGGACTCTGGTCGTCAAATAACTTAATTGTTGCGAGGTCCATAATCAAAAACATTTAAAACACATCATAGGTACTACGGGGACTAGTGAGAAGGCTTAGTTTCCTAGCGTCAATAAATTGAATTATTTTCGGATCCGTAGTCCGTATCACAAAATTTCGACGCAGATCTCCCTTGCGGCGCAAAATCACGGGTCACGGGATGCTCATTGCTTATTGTTCGGTGCACTTGTCCCTGTATGACCCACCCTGCACACCGGACGGACGACCGTGCGTCCGGCCGGCCTGCCGCCCCCTCACTCTTGTCGGTCCGTCTGCTGCGTTTGAATGGAGCGACCTTTGACCCTGGCCCTCTCCCCTCCTCTACCCCGCCCCCTCTGTCCGCACGTGACCGGGGGACACCGACTGATGTCTTCTGCGCCACAGTGTAACGGCTGTAGCTGTCTGTTGACTCGGCTCGAGTAGGAGATTTGGGCATGATTGTGTTTTGTTGAGTGTGTGTTGAGTTGAGATGATGTCAGCTAGTATTGAGTGTTTGTCATCAAATATCGACGTTTGTAAAAACGTGAGCTCCTCTCGAGTTCGTTTGGATAGCTTAGGTCACTTTTTATCAAACGGCACCGAAAGCTGTTTAAAATTAGAAAGGAAATGATGCAATAAACGTTGCTTCTTGGAACTGCCAGCTTGCCCTATCTGCTTATTGATGAATACATAGCTTGCGGGGAACAATCTCGCTCCTTATCTACATTTTACGATCTCACGAGAAATGATATTTATGATGAGGTCATAGAGCACGCACGATCTCATATTTGAATGGGGACATTCCCATACGTTCCTTACCACATTATGTGAATCATGACATGCGCGCAACTCTACCCCAGCACCCCATGATCAGTACCTTAGCTGACCTGTACCTTGACTGCTGTAACGTGTGCCCTTCTTACAGCACGACAGATGACGACAAGAAGCGTCGAATGCGTGCGCTGCTGAGCTGCGTGAATGCCGACTCCCCGTACATCCGGAACCCGCTCTATGTGCCGCAGCACCTGCTCGTACTGGCCTGCGTGCTCAGGTGAGAATGATCGGGGTTATCTGCTGTAGTCGGGACAGTTGGACAGACACGGGCGGTATCTCAGCCGCCAGGGATGGTATGCGGGGTGGGAGCTGCCTTACCAAATATAACCTAAACATCTTTGACCATTTTTCACTAAACCATGCTACCTTCATACTGGATTTCATAATACGCCTGTGGATTGACGGAACTGTCGGTGGGACTGGGGCAGGGTTAGAGCTGGTGCAGTTGGTAGTCAACTCCCCGTCACTCCTCAACCCAGCCAGTCACTCAACAATCAGTCTGTGTTCACGGAGCTTTGTTTACATTAGGTCTGTGTTTATCTTTATCGTCCGGGTCTTACCGCGTCCCCTATCACCCCGTTAGTGTCTTACAATGATGCATCGGTTCACCACTTACATATGACTCACTGGGGGTCTTTGTTGAGAGAGCCTTAAAAACAACTTGATATGAAGAGCTTTTCAAGAGTTATAAGATGTTAACTGCTAGGCTAGGCTATGATACACCCTGTACTGCGCACTGTGGCGCCCCGGTAATGTACTCTAGACCCGTTATCAGCCGTTGTTTCGATGGTAGGTCCCCATGGCGACTGATCTGACCTGCCCCGTCGACTGCCCCCAGGTACATGATGTCGCAGACTGGCCCCAACGGTCAGGCGTTCCTCTGTAAGCCAGAGCTGGACGCGTTCATCGCCCAGGCGCTCAGCCCCAAGCTGACCGACTCACAGTACCTGCAGGATCTGCAGGTAAAGCAGCGATACTGGAGGGAAATGACACACCCCGCCAGAGCAGTGCGAGACTTCTGGGTCCGGTGTGTTGTTCGAAGACGCGGTTGGTTTCGTTCGGATTACCTGTTCAGACTGCGCCGTCGACAGTACACTGGCTCAATGGTCATTATATGAACCATGTGGGGCCGGTACAACGCATTTTAGTTTAGGTGAGCCCTGAGACAATAGACTTCTGTATGCTGATGTCTATGGATCAGATTAGGCTAGGTCAGACCAAATTATTGCGCGCTGTCTGTACCCGTTCCTGACTGCTTTCCGTGCAGCGTCTCTGACCGTCCATTTTCTGATTTCCACCCGGCAGCTTCCGTCTCTGTCGGCTCGCGCCGTCCAGCTGGCCAGCCTGTTCATGCAGGGCGTCGAGACGGTGCTGTTCGCCAACGACGCGTGCGGCGCGCCCATCCCGTGGCTCATGTGCTGCCCGTGGCTCTTCTTCGACGGAAAGCTGTTCCACAGGTGAGTGTGACGGCTAACGTTGATTTGTCGTAGAGTGTAAAAATGTCTTCCAGATTGGTGGGAAAAGTGGTTTTCCACCGCAGACGTGTATGTTGCTGTGCTCCGGTCTCGTTGCATTTCTTTCTTTTTCGTTCTCGTTGCGGTCTCTTCGGCTGGACACTGACCGCGCCGTCTCCCGTCCGCAGCTTCCTTCTGAAGGCCACTCAGTGTCGCAACGTGCTGGAGCTGTGCGACAACCAGCTGGACATGGTGGGCCAGCTGGACCTGGTGCGCCAGGCGGTGCTGGACGGCCTGCACGTGCAGTACGCTCGGCCGCAGCTGTCGGGCCACCCGGCCGGCCACCCGCCGCTGGTGCCCGGGCCGCGGCGGCTACTGGCACGCGGCGGACGTCTCCAGATCGGTGGCGTGGTGGTCGGCTCGTGGGCCGGCAACAGCAGCCTGGGCGGCCGCGGCCGCGCGCCGGCCGGCGGTGCTCCGCGCCGCGGACCCGGCGGCGGCGTGGGCCAGCAGTCCGCCAGGGACGGCTGGCCCGCCGCCGGCCGCGCCGCTAAAACGGTGAGCTGAAAGAGTCGAAATGGAGTGAGTCTTGTGCGACTGTGCGTCTCTGTCTCGCCTCTGCCATGCTCTCGCTAACTGAACCCTGAACAGCAATAGCTCCTTGCTGACTGTAACATTAACATTTAATAGTGATGCCTCCGGTCACCACATAATCGTATCTTTGCCGCTATATTCGACATGCTGGAGGTAGTAATGACAGCGCATCTGTGTGTCTCCTGTCGTCGCCAGGTGAAGAAGAAGGCTGTGTCTCCGGCCAAAAAGGAGGGATCGGCCGGAAGAGGCCTGGATGCCGGACCCGACGCGTGAGTTCCGAATGTTTCTTATCTACCCGACAAACCCAATTTTAGAAAAGCGGGTGGACAGAGACCATATTGTGTTTAGTTTGTATGAATAGCGATATTTTTCCTTGCTGTAGCTAATTTTAGGTACAGAGCACCTAAATAATAAAATCTATAACGGTATACACAGGAAGATGATTACATAATATCTATCGACGTTAAAGATTATATCGACGTTGTGTTATCTATGACAAGAAAAGTGTATGTTTGTTAGTGTTTCTCCATGTGGACATCTGGTCAGCGGATGGGTCCGCCTGCAGCTGAGCCTCCGGAGCAGCGGGCGGCCGCACGGGCTATCCGCTTGGGACTCCGAATGCAGATAGTGTGTCGTGTCTGGCGATGTGCGCGGTGTTCTGGCGTCCGTCTGCGCGTCGGAGACCTGCGAAGTCATCGTTCCGGCGCAGACATCTGCCGGTCGTCGGTCACCGCCTACTCATATCACGTGTCTGTGTCAGAGTCATGTGACGGTGCCGATTTCGTGCGTCTGGTGTTGCGTGTTCCGCGTCGTGTGACGTGTGTCCGGTGTCGTTGGTGTTTGTGTCGTCTGTGTGTCTCCGTGTGGTCGTGTCACTGACGCCCGCCCCGTCGTTTCCAGCTCTGCGGCTGGCAGCGGCGCCGGCGACCCGGGCAGTGCCGGCGGCGGCGCCGCGGCGCCCGCCCAGTTCGAGGATGCGCTGCTGCTAGTGGCTCAGTAGACGGCCCTGGCCGGCCGCCGCGCCGCGCCGCCGCACCGACGGCCCTCCACTGTGATGCTTCGAGTCAGGGGCGGCGGCGGCGGCGGCCGGTCGCCGGCCACCGCCGCCGCCGCCCCGCCCCGCGCCGCAGCCGCCGTCAGGCGCGCGCGCCGCAGAGTCTATTTTTGTATTGTTGTTACTGACTACTGTTGAGGGAGGCCACAGCGCGTGAGCGCACAGTGCAGGAGGCACACGATCGCCGGCCCGGCGGCGGCCAAGCTAGCTACAGCATCACACCAACTCAAACAGACAAACTGACCAGCATGTTTTCACATCAGACGGCACCGGCCGCGGCCGCTCATTCAGCGTGCGCGCGCGAGTACCGGTCGCTTATCTTGCGAACCTCTCTGGCGGGGCCCACCGCACGTTCTGGCGTTCGTACACGGTTTCTGGTAGGTTAAGAGCGCGGTTTTGACGTCAGCCCCGCGCTGGGGCGGTGACAGTCGGTATTTGGACTGGATATGACAAGTTTGGTAACTGAGCGCGGCGCTGTCGACTCTCACACACGTATTTAACCGATCGTCTGAGCGTCCGCGAGAACAGACACATAGGTCTACTCGTTTTGTCGTGTCGGCTGCCCGTTACCTGTAAATAGGCGACATAGTATTCGGTGTTTGAATTTCTTCTTGATCGGACGGCCGTGGGAAAGCCACGCTGCGAGCCGACATAGTTTGCCTGTGTGGATTCGTAACTTTATGAATTATTTGTACTAACGTAAGACGGCTGGCAGCCGCGCGGCCCCCTTCGGGACCGGCCCTCGGCTGTCTCGGCCAAACCAGCTGGAAGACCCCGTTGTCAGAGACCGAAGAGAGTACGTCTCACCAAATGAAAACAGCACCGGGTGTGTGCATCAAAAAAAGTTTGAATAGTGCTTGAGGTTTTGCTTATCACAGCGCGTATGCAAAAAGGTCCGTTCACATAGTAATATGGCGCCGACCGGTGTTCTACAATTTCGGCTGGGGCGGCTTGACGCGCCCAGCTTTCTGCAGAAACAGCCGCGAAGGCAGCGAGCGAGCTGTGGCTGAGAGAAAGGGTGAGAAACGACAGCGGGATACACACCGTATTCTCTGAGGAAGGTCCTTTTTCCGTGCTTATCGATATCGGTGTGAATATTATAAGTAAATGGTGATGTTTATCTTTAACTTGATACAGCTAGCCGAAAGTGGCTGTTCAATTGCATTGGTGGGCCCCGAAGTCTAGCGTTTTCTCAGCATATATAGCCTCGTAATTCCCGAAGACTTCGTAGTCGATGTTAAGAAAATTATTTAGCTTGTAACTGCGACCTGTCTTAACCGGCGCCGCGCCCGTCTCGGCGCGGCGCGGCGCCGCGTGCGCTGGCCGTTTTGTGTTTACTCGTAGTTTCGTGTATGTCACGTGGCGCTAGCTGCTTGGCGGCGGGTGACGGCGGTGTGCCAGTGCCCGCGCCCGCCGCTCGCCGGGGCAGGGGCCCGGCCACCGCCGCCCCGGGACGGACCGTGCCGTGTGCCGACAAAATATATCACTGAAATCCGACACCGGGACTCTTTCTGAGCGGAGGAGAGGGGGAAGTGTCGATCAGGTGGTTCCGATGGGAATAAGTATGAAAACGAAATGCAAGGGATGCAGGGTGCAGATAAGCTAAACCTTTGAACTTCTTATGTTGTGCACATGCACACAGGAACTCAAACACACCCTTCAACCTCAGACTGATAGGCTGAAAGGTGTCCTCGCGACAGCTTTTAAATTAAGTGAATGTCTATTGTCTAGCCCAGTTGACTACCACATTCCATGTCATTGGCTGCATTTAATTCCATTCATTTTCTAATGCATATTCTGTGTTTTGGTAGGTCTGGCTGCCAGCATTTCCCCCAGCAGACAAAACACATCGGTCCCTCGTCCAACAGAAGCAAACAGAGTGCGAGGAATGCGGGCGGGCGGGCAGCGATAAGCGATCTGCGACCGTCGCGCCTGTTTGTGAGGCTCGCAGCGTTCGCAGACCGGACGTGCCTCTTACCCCGGTGGGTGGCCGCGGGGCCGTCCGAGCCACGTGGGCAGACCGCCGTACCTCGGTGCACAGACCTTACCTGGGGTCCACTGACCATACTTGGGTATCCCGACGTCCCCCACGACCGGACGTGCCTGTCTACCAGGTGGACGCCGGCGTGGCCGGCGGAGCCACGTGGGTAGCCGGACGTGGCGAGTGGGGATCGGCCGTGCTGCCTGCGGACTGAAGGTCAGTGCACCGCTCGCCGTTCACACCCGTGCGTTTGAAATTCAGCCGTGTCAGCCTCGGACGGACCGTGCGTTGTGTCGTCTCTTATTCTTATATGTAGATATCGACATCTCTTTCTGAGGTCGGTCTATCTCTCATTGACCGAACTTGATGACCGGTGCATTTCCCGCGGATTTGTTCTTGGGGTTCCTGGAGACCCCACCTGCTGAGGGGAGAAAGGTGTTTACTATTGGGCGACCGCGACCCCCCACCGCGGGGCGGCGATAGCGTCTGCGCAGAGGGGTAGGGTAGGGTGCCCGCTTGTTTGTCCTGGTTCCAGCGACAGAGTGGGTAGCTCCCTAGACCAAACACCCTGGACCAAACCACCTGCCCCGACTATACGGCGTCCACTGCGAGTACGGTCATCGAAATACGACACCGAGCGGGGTTCGGCGACCCGGGCTGTAGCTGCCGCAGTCACCCCTTCCGCCGTGTCGGCGGGCGGTTGGGCGGCGGCCGCCGACCGTGCTACGCTGGCGCCCGTAGTAGGCGCTGATTGGTCGGCGGAAAGCGCGGGAATTGAACCGGCAGAGAGCTGCCAACCTAGGCGGTTTTGGCGGAGGGCGGCTGGGCTAGGCGGATCGATCGGCCGCGCTGGCACGGGGGACGGTGATGTGCCCTCCGACCGGGCCACCTGCCGCCTGCCACGGCGCTGCAATTTGATCCCGTATGGATGGAGACCGGTGGTCTGTGTTCCCTGATGAGTACATAGATCTGAAAGCGTCCGGTATCTGATCAAAATCCTCTGAGTCGGTCCATACCGGCTCATACAGCCTGTCACTTGCGTCGCCAGGCTGAGCAGTCTGGAATCAACCCAATTTCTTTTATTTTAATATTTAATATCTTTTATGTTTCAGGTCAGATTAATGAAACCGATTTAAAGGGACCCTCCCACCTTAACATTAGATTTGAGTTGAGATAGCCAAAATGGGGTCCCTGGGCCCTGGCTCACAATTACCGGTTTCGGCACTCACAACATCGAGAAATGCCTTAAATCGGAAATATTGAATTTCAAAATTGCAGCATTTTGATTCAGAGGGGCTAATGCTTAGGAATACCCCTCTGAATGTGTGACGTCAGCGCAAATATCTAACGATTTTTAAATGTTTGACTAAAACGTTTTGTAGCACGCGGTGGTATATGCTATTTGTGCGCAACATCTGCCGCAAACGCCGCACTTCTAAAATAAAGTCGCTAGAAACAGCGGAGATCCCAAAAAAAGTAAACAAAAGTAAAAGTCTAATATCTTGAAAACCGGTGAATATTTTTCGGTGAAATTTGGTAGATATTCGTTTCCGCTCTTTCTGAACCGAGCGACATCACTTTCATGCCAATTCATAAACTTTTTTGAAGGTGGGAGGGCAGGGCGTATTTTAAGGGATTTTCACTGGGTCGGCAATCACATTTAGGGGCGGCATTTTGCACTCATAGGGGCGGCACTGGGCATCTGAGGGGGCGGCATACCTACTGATATTTAATGACAAAAAAGACACGTTCGACGTTTCTTTTATAACTCTTTCTAAGTAATGATTTCAGATTCAACCTGCCTAAGCTCAGCGGTATTACGTCTATTTTTCCGGGATATGGTATTTCTCTTGTCATAATGCGACAAATGAACTATAATTTGACTTTACAAAAATTAATTTAAAAATTTTACCTGAGGTCAAGTTCATGACCTCACCATAAATAAAACATGTTGCATACCAGTCGATCCGTATCGTCAAGCTTAAAACATTCACGGTGTTTTATGGCTCTAGAACAGTGGTCGGCAGGTCGCACGAGTGGTGCCCACTTTATGGGCGCTGGACGGGGCCATTACCCCCACTTGTCATACCCCATTGCAAGCCCCATTGCTTACACAGCAAGGGTCGCTGATATTCGGCCATATCCTTTGACGCCTCTATTTTTCTGCATCTAAATAAAATGCAACACAATTAACTCTTTTTTATGGAGAGGGAGAGCGGGTGGAGTAAGGATGAAGTCATACATTTTTTATTCATTAGTTACTCGCGTAATGAACAGCGTATTGTAATTTGTAACGATACGTTCATCCCCCCCCCCCAAGTTAATGAATGGTATACCTACCTACTCAAATATTTTCGTGACCCCAGTGACATTTTCATTGAGTTTTTGAAATTTGAATGACCTTCACTCAGTAACTTTCTCTCCGGATCGGCCGGCGGACAAAACGCAAGCGAAGACAAGGGAGTCCGGTGCTCTATCAACTGAGCTACGGAACAGGCAAATGCTCACCATAGATACACCGACTGAACGATCCCTTTATAACTTCAGCGATTGATAAGACAAGCAGTGTGTAACTGTATATATAAAATGTAAGTCTCGAAATTGCTATGTCTTTGACCAAAGGTAAGGACAATTTTGCGACCCTTCCATTAGGTATAAGGAAATGGGAGAAAATCAGGGCATGCATGCCTCTTTTTATAGGTAGAAAAATGTCAAAGTTAACGAATTTAAACATCATAAAACAATTAAAAATGACACACTTAATCCGTAAATTGCCACCCACGACCCCTCGTTATGTCCTTGAGGTCATGTCAGGTCATGGAAGGCCTCCAGCAGTTTTTTCAATAACTTCTGATAGAGACATGCGACATACCTGAGCGATGAAAACACCTTAGATGATTTCAGTTTGACGATACAAATCGACTGATATGCAACGTGACCTTTACCAGTCAGGTCATGACCTGGACCTGAGCTCAAATTTCCCAAATGACATTTGAATGTCAAATTATAGTTCATTCGACGCATCTCGACGAGAGGAGCACAGTACTGAAAAAACAATATCATAACTTTCGTGAGTCAATAATTATTACAGTAAAAAGGTTCTTCATTAAAACAGCTCAGTAGAGGGGCGGAGGGGGCTCCACTGTCCACTCCAACCCTCCCCGGCCCGGCACGGGTTAAACTAGTTGTGCTCTGGAGGTTAAGCCGTTGATGTTAGGTCAAGTCTGAGGACTTTATAGGAACGTTGAAGAGCAATCGAATGTGCTTTTTTCGCGGTGCTGTAGTTCTATTCTTCCCCGAGTTATGCGCCAGTTTGTCAATAAATGTTGAAACAGACAACATTTCACCCACATTTCACCTTTGATGACCTCTGGTCATCTGATATTTGACAGTTGACTTGACCTAACCAAAGTACGGTTAACCAACTAACCCAAGTAGTTTTTGACACTCTTTCGAATGCCGCTTACCGCGTGTCGCTACGTGGCCCAGTAGCCAAGTTATAGGGGTCGGGAGGGGGTTCAAACCTCAGCCCGGCGCCGGTTAAAGGGACCATCCCACCTTAACATTAGTTTTGAGTTGAGATAGCCAAGTTTGCGGCCAGGCTCAGAAACCACCATTTATCCTGGTCGCAACCCCCGCAGCTTTATGGTGTTCAAGAAATTTCTTCCCTTTACTTGCAGGGTGGGACCAGCTTAGTCCCTATCTCTTAACCATTAGCGGTTTTTTGATGACGTCAGCAGTCATTTCAACGCCCGCCATTCCTTGAACCCGAGTTTTGCTGACCTTGAGCTCCCTTGTTTATCAACGTGAAATCCGTCGTCGGCGCTGAGAAAGCATGTTGCTTTTCATTTTAATTTGAATATTAGAAGATACCCACCACTGGAACTTGGACTGATATTATACCAAGGCCGAAGATGATCAAGCTGCCTGCTATATCTGGAGCTTGGTGTTCAACTTCAACATGGAATAAAAAACAAAATATCAAAGCAAACTGGATATGGTACTGCAAGTTAAAGTCCAAAGAAATTTGAAGAGCTGACAATTGACATTAATTCTTTTCCTGCAAGGTTTCCATATGGAGATCAAAGTCACACCATGAAGAAATATTTTTGATGTTAACAGTTGAAAGGGGATTTATCTTCCAGTTTTGACGAAAGACGCTGCTGACTGTCTTTGGAAAAGGATGTCGGCATGAGGTGCAATTGTGCTTGTGAAGTGGTTATAACTGGTCTTTTCACAGTATTAAATTAAATGTGCCATTGCAGCCAAGTGTGTTATCATGTAAGGTAAAATCAAAACTACAATGTTGGTTTTACGAGCATTGAGAAGGCTGGTAGGTAACACCTGCCTGTGCTCGTAAATCATGCTGCCAGAGTATTCTAAATTAATTTTATCATACACTTTTGTTGTCCAGAATGGTTGCACTATTGTTTGGTATCATATTATTCCATGTAAATATGGTAGTGTAAAGTCCGACCAACATGTTACCAGATTTGAAGCTGTTACGTTACCTAAG